CCTGCTTCATGAAGCTTTTTTTTTTTTTTATTTTTAATAGACACCTTTGAGATCAACGAAGTGCTTGAAGTCTCGGAGCACCTATGACACCAAAGTACATTAAATGGGATGTGGTCAAACACCAACAGCAATCAGTGATGTTTGTGTAGGAGATCAGAATGTAAATGAACTTCCCATTTGTATTAGAAAGTCTTCAGGAATTTTCCAGAGATTGTYCAAAGCCTGTTTCAGGAATTGTTCAAATAATTGAAGAGTTGGAGGCCGCTTGACTGAAGCCTTTTGCTTCTCTCTGTTTAAGTTTCTGTGGTGTGATGGGAATAATTGGGTGTGCAGAGACAAATTCATAAATTAATTTCCATTATGGGACTCACTGATGTATTATTACTTTCTATTTTAGTAGAATAGGTTAGAATCCTGTGCCAGCTTTTTGAGACAATGAATCTTGGTACCATTTGTGGTGAAATGTGTTTTGTAAGCACATAAAATATCATTATACCAAAGCACCTTTTGGCTTTGGATGTTTTTAACTTGCCTCCTTAGGTGGACCTRTGGTYATTTTTAYATTCAGGYCTTTCCTACAATGCTCAGGGCAAARTGTGCTGCCAACAGAACYTGTTAAAATTTACTTTCTGGATTCACTGTCCGTGTACCCTTGTGCTGTCCATGAGCCTGTTTAATTCAGCTTTTAGAATTAATATAGAGGATAAAATAATAGGATTTTTGACACTAAATATGCTTGTCAGGTGCAAATCTGGAACATGGTCTAAATTTGTGCTAGATGCTGCTCCAGTCCATCCCAGAAGGTTTTGGGCCACTGTGGCCACAGACACCACAACCTGTGGCTGCTTTTCACTGGGTGGCCCTGGGTTGGCCCTGTGGATTCACTGAGCACAAATWACTTCCCAAAACTGTCTGGGTCACTGTGTCTTTCTTCCTCTCACATTTTAGTCTCCAGATGGGAAATTCTTGCTGGCTGGTGACAGGCAGTGCCACGTGCACAGCTCTGTRGTTGCTTGAGATGCAGAAGCATCATTTGAGCCTGCAAAATCAAAAATCACTTGTGGGCTATTTATTTTCTCTGGGACAAATTGTGATGGAGATTGTGTGTGTGGAATACTTACCAAAAAGGGTGAAAYTTTTAAAAAAATGTATTTGTAAGTGTGTGTAACGGGTTTGGGGGTTTGTTGGTTTTTTGTTTGTTTTTTTTTTAAGTAGTTCAGTGGATAAGGAAGAGCTTCTGAGAAGCTTCTTCTGGCAGGATGTGAATTCCCAATTTCAGTCATTCCACCAATGGGCATTCCAAATATAATGATGGAGTTCTGTCTACTGGATTACTGTTAAAAATGATTGACTGCCTTTTCCACTGAGGGAGCATTTAGGCAATGAAGGGATTAGGATGATGCACTGAAGGAATTAAGATTTTGGGTTTTTATTAAGAGAACAAAGTCTGCAAAGGTCTCTTTCTCTGGTACTGGGTTTTTTTTCCTTTTGCACCTTCCTACAGGAAGGCTGCTCTGGTGAATTTGTTCCAGCTCATGCATCTGCCAGCTTACAATGTACAGGTTATTTTATTATTCTATTCTATTCTATTCTATTCTATTCTATTCTATTCTATTCTATTCTATTCTATTCTATTCTATTCTATTCTATTCTATTCTATTCTATTCTATTGTTTCAACCCATTGCATAACTATACACTTCAGAAAAAAAAAAAGCTTTTATCCAGCCTGTCCTAATACCCACAAAGTCTACTCCAGTGTCTCTCAACTCACTCTTTAAAAAAAAATACATGTTGTTAAATAATGATATTTGTTCTTCCCTGTCCTAAATCTGCCCACTAAATGGCACACCATTATTTATTCTTGGATAAAGCTTCATGGGCTTTAAATGTTACTAGAAATGCTCAGTGAAATCATCCCAGAGTGGTGAACCTGGAGGTTCCAGACAGGGGTTTGTGACTGTCACTTGTCTTTGTCACTGGTTTACTCCATATTTTTGAATCATCTCTTGAGGRAAGGGCTGTGTTGGGGAGAGAGCTCTTCATCACCAGTGTCCAGAGCCCTTTGTGCAAAAGCAGCATCATTGCTGGTCACAATCTCTGCTCTGGAGATTTTCAGTTGCAAAATGTAAATTCAGCTTGAGCTAGCCCAGGCTTCCAGTTTGGGCTGGTTTTTATAGACATTCAGTCTATGAGATCATATTATTTCATAAATTAATTCTCCCCAAATAATTTCCATCCCACAGGCCAGTAACCAGGTGATAATAAAGGATGATTTTCAAAAATACAGAATTCTGAGGCTTTTCCTGAGAGTCCAGAGTGGACACAGGAGAGTTGTTGAAATGGTGGGCTGTCCCAAGGGACAGTTTTCCTTGCATCTGGTTTTTTGGATGACCAGATTTCATTGATGCAGCATAGACCCAGCCTCCTCACATGCCTATTTCTATTATCTATTTTCACTTATTTATGAAGGACATGGCAGAAAAAGTTGAGTGCAAGAACATTTTGTGRAATAGTAGAAGGAAAAGAAGAACTGAATGTTTTGCAGTGAAAGACTGCAGAAAATATACTGAAAAATTGGGTTGAAGAGGGAAAGACACAAACTTGTGCCTGCAAAAACAACTTTACCACCTGATTGTTTCTAGAACTTCCTTCTAAATGCTTAGCAACTAAAAGAAAAAGTAGTTTTGCAGTGTTTTAAAGAGTGGGGTTACATTTAATACCGAGAACACAGGTGATTATGAAATTAATTGGGACAGTTGGAATAGAYACCTGTTTTACTGGTTTACAAAATCCCCTCTGCCAAAGCTTGAGGTGGAAGCAGAGAGACTCTCCTCAAATTATTCACATCTGGAAGTTTTGCTGAATAGTATCAAACTAAACCAGTCAGACAAATCTTTCTGAACCCTGATGTCTCAGGGTTAACAACCCTTTCTGCAGTCATCTGCCTTCTGGATGAAATAGGCAGAAGCATAAAAGAAGCAATGTCACTGAAATCTTTATCTGCTRTTGACAATTCCCCAGTTACTGCTTTGTAGTCATGCTCCTCTTTTACCCCCTGAGGTGCTAAAGACTGGGAAGATGAGGTTCTTCTCTGCTGGTTTCACAATTCTTTTGTTCTCCRCTGTTTCTGTAAGACTCTTGAGTTAAATAACCTTCAGCTCTCCTGTAAATATTTTTATTTTATTTATTTTTTGGATAAATCTTTTTGGTCCCAGCTTTTGTAACTGTGCCTTTTCAACGAAGCTGCTATAAACAGTCATTTACAGGTTGTGTTTCTGAGGCAGCTTTAAAAAAAATGTGTTGTATACATTTGCTCCTGCTCTAAATGTTAAATATCATTGCACAGAACGATGGGAACAGATGGGATGCTGCATAAGCTGTTTATCATATTACACATTTATCACTTTACACTAGTGAAGTGTACATGTGTTTGATTAATATTGACTTTTGATTTATTTGGAGGGCTCTGTTTTTTGACAGCATTAGGGATTACATTGTAATCCTTGCTGGCTTCCAAGCTTGAAATTTAATTCCAGTAAAAATAGAGTAGATGCACTCCATAATTCTTAATTACATGATTTTTTTTTCTTTTCTGTGGAAAAGAATTACCTGGTTGAGGCTTTAATACTGGAAGGAATTCAGAAGTAAATGCATAACTCTATTTGCTTCAGTATTTTRGACAGAATAAATTTAGATGCCGTTGGTCCAGCCTCTTGGAATTAAATACCAGATGCTAAGAAGGTGTAAAATAAAGCAAACCAGCAAGAGGCCTATTTAAATCTATATTCTTTTATACCCTCCACCTACAGAATGAGAGAACTTTGTCTTTGCCTGCTCAACAGGTCTGGATGCTCAGCATGTGTTCCACCTACGTCACAGTACATGGAACCAAAAAAGCATCTCCAGACACACAGCACAGCACAGATCAGGGTTTGAGGCTGCAGCCAGCCTTGAAAAGATGCTTTACCAATACACTGAAAGGCATTTTGTCTCAGCCAAAAAAAGGGGAGGTTTTCCTTCTAGACAATGGATGGAAAATGATTTGGAGTTGGATTGGGGTGGCTCGTGCTGTTTGTTCTGCTAAATGGTGATAATATTTAATAGGAGATTGCACTCTCGACGGTAAATCCTTGGGAGTGTGAGATGCCCGGCCTGTCAGAATAAATAGAGGAGGCTAAAAACACTTTSTTTGAAAATGACTGTTCATTTTGGAGGCATGGAGTGATCTCAGTGAAATATTACTGAGTCAGTGGAATTTTGGAGAGAGATCAACTTCCCAGCACGTATTCTGGCAGCAGCTCTTCCTCCATTCCTCAATATCTTTTATGTTCAAATAGCACAGGCAGCACTTCAGTCTTACATGTTGTCATCATTCAGATTTCAGATAACTTTCAGTGACTCCTTATAGGCAGAATGCATAAATAAATTACTTTTACCGTGGCTTACTTACAGTTYTTACTTACAGAAAGCAGAATGCCTCTGCTTTCTTGTGTTAATTAATATTATGGAAAGACATATCCAGCAGAAAGGGTGATGTAGCACTAGGAATTACTGAGACACTGTATGTATATATATTTTTTTTTTAAAGTTGCAGTTCAGTTTGAAGTTTAATTGGCATGACTACAGTAGCTGCTAAGKGCTTCATGTATTCAACTCTTCTTTTTCCATGGAGACTCTTTGGSGGTGCTGTGGCTCTGTTGCCTTTGCTTCCAGGGTATGAGATCCTTCCAGAAACTTGCACAAGGAAAACTCTACTTGTAAATATAATGTGTAAAGGGCAGGATTTGGTTGAATTTATTTAGATGTGTATTTCCTGAAGGAGTAGCTTTGTTTCCTRGTCATCATGTCAGCTATGCACTGTTCCTTAAATGCATATTTTTATTAAAAGGAGTAACTGGAAATTCTGTTTCCTTCTGTTCTTTCTGCCTTCTGTTTGTAGAAATGACAACACAGAAAATTTCTGCATTTTGSTCTAAAAGACTCCTTCCTTTCTCTGCAGGTTAATAATGAGAATGTAGTGAAAGTTGGCCACAGGCAGGTGGTGAACATGATTCGACAGGGGGGCAATCACCTCGTGCTGAAGGTTGTCACAGTAACCAGGAATCTTGATCCAGATGACACAGCAAGAAAGAAAGGTACATTTTTCTCTCTTCCTGGTGGACTTCCCAGTTCTTGCTTCACAGAAAATGAAGTACAGGCATGAAATTGCTTTTTCCTAAATTCTCATTTATTTGCCTTTGCTTCTAAAATTTGAACTGCCCTGTTCTTGTTTAATTTCCTGTGATTTAATTCTGTTGGGTTAGACATTATTACATGACTAAAGGGGCAATATTCTCGCATCATGCTTGGCATGAAAGTTCATCTTTATGGGTTTTTCACATGTTTATGTTTGAGGATCTTGTAGTAAGCAGTAGTGAGAGAGGAAAAGCACTGAGAACAGATGATCTTTTATTAATTTCAAGTGTACTCGAGGTGGGGGTTGTTCAGCAGTGTGTTTCTCACCCATCCATCTAAAAAAAACACCACGATAACTTCACCAAAATGAATAAACCAGGAAACAAAAAGGAATTTGCGCTGTTTCCTTCACCTTAGATGCCCCTGAGTTTGCTTTGCCATCTATGRAGGGAAGTCATTAGGCCCATAATTATCATTAAGCAGCAAAGATTGCTGGTGCTGCTGCTCACTGGTGTTCCAGAAAGCAGCACACGTGGCTGAAAATTCCTGTTCCTGTCCTCAGCTCTGTGAGTTCTCACTTACACACACCTGACACTCCAGGGCTCCCGGCTGGCCCTGACTAAAACTTTCTGTCGGTGCTTGAAGTGTTTTTCACCTCTGCTTCTTATTTAAAAAAAAAAAAAAAAGTTCTACAAAAAGTGAGAGCAGCTTGTGGGGTGGAGGTGGAAGGCTGTGTTTACCTAAATCCTATCCCAATGTGGTCCTGCATTATTGTTGATTTGATGGAATTCTCTTCACACATTTTAAACAAACCTTTTGCCTTTGCTTTTTGGGATGTCTCATATTCACTTTAAATGTAGTGACAGGGCAAGGGGCAATGCTTTAAACTGAAAGACAGTAGATTTAGACGAAATATTAGGGAGAAATTCTTGACAGTGGGGGTGATGAGGCCTGGCACAGGTGTCCTGGAGAAGCTGTGGCTGTCCCTGGATCCCTGGCAGTGCCCAAGGCCAAGCTGGACATTGGGGCTGGGAGCAGCCTGGGACAGTGGAAAGTGTCCCTGCCATGGCAGAGAAGTTGGAATGGGATGAGCTTTCCTGACCATAGAAATATTTGTTATCAGGGTGCAGGAGCACAGATTTTAGTTTCTGTGCTAGATGATTGCCTCGGCATTGTAAGACTTTATTCATTCTGAGGATTCCCTGTTTTGCTCAGAATCACCACAACTGTCAAGGTACATCTGAGTGTTCTTGCATTCCTCAGATTGAGCAGCTTTTCCAGTTAAAAGATTCAATTAATTTGGCACAGATTGGAGGTTTTTAGCCCCGTGCATTTCTCAAAAGGGGCAGCACTGCTGCGAGGTCCCTTGAGCAGAAAGCCCTTTTTCCCTGCTGGGAAGCAGGAGTGCACAGTTATTTAGCTTTAAATGTTTCTCTGTATCCTGTTACATAAAAGCTTGCGGATGTGTCAAGCAACCTACGCTAGAACCAGAAACAGTGGAGCAATTCAGTCCGTGAAAAGCATCTCAGGGCTCTTTCCTCGGCGTGTGGGTATCAGTTGTCTCCTCCTTTGATGGAGCTGCTGGTTGCCCATGGCTGTGGAGCCGAGGCTGCGAGCCCAGGGCTCTCAGGGGCTGTTTTGGCTCACTCCTGTGTGTTTCTCTGTTCCACACCCAGCCCCGCCACCGCCCAAGAGAGCTCCAACCACTGCACTGACCCTGCGCTCCAAGTCCATGACCTCAGAGCTTGAAGAGCTTGGTAAGAAAGCKTTTTTTGGCAAGCATGCTGGCTTTAGTGCAGATGTAAATATCGATCTCTGTGTCTCTCTGTTAYCTTGACGGAGGGAGCTGCACTGTGCACAGTGTCTAGAGCAGAGCAGGTTTTCAGAATGCTGCATCTTTGGAGAGTTCAAATGTGCATGACTCGCATGAATGATTTTTGTGGAGACTTGTGCCGTTACTGCTACGCAAGGGAATGTTGAGACATTTTGTGCATCATCAAAGTTTGGCACATTTATCAAAAAAAAAAAAAAAAAAGAAAAAAAAAGAAAAAAGAAAAGAAAATTATGCTGTATCATGTTTTGTTAGCTTTGCTTTCTAAATTTTCAGTTCATCTAATATTGTTTTATTTTAAATTTCTGTGGCCTCTCATTAGTGGATAAAGGTAAGCTGCCAGAAGCTGTTGTTAAAAGCTGACAGTGTTAAAGCAGCTTCAAACTTCAACTTGTTTCATTAAACTGATTTGAAAAAGTGCATATTATGATATCACTTTGACTTCTGTGCATGATATAAACCTAATTCTTCTCACTATTGGTAATAAAAAATTATCGAGCCTTCAGTCTTTTATTTGCTAATATTGAGAAATGTGAGTGTAGATTCCTTTGSTTGATCATCCACATTTTAGATATGCATAATTCTTCAGGAATTTGTATTCATTTTCTAGAAATGGGGAAGGTAATTGTTCTTTTCTTCCTGGTTTTAATCTGTTARGACATTAAAAGGTAGAATTTCTACAGCTAGACTGAGAGATTGAAATAGGAATAAATCATATATAAAAAGAGAAAAGCCCAGTACATATTTCTRTGTGGTTCTAACAGTAAAACAGTGTGTTTAGCAAGTGAGAAATGGGTATAAAACCAAACCACGTCCCTCACTGCAGAGTAATAGATGACAATAATTCGCACAATAAAACCATTTTTCCATGTAATTCTACAGTGATTTAAATACTTCCTTTATAATCTTGGGGTTTTCCTGACATACACTCATCTGAAGGCCAACTGGAAAGAATCAAGCCTTGTGGCCCTTTTTTTCCGCTGAAAGTCAGTGTTTTCTGGGGCAGACAGATCCCATCCATCCTTAGCAAGCCACTCCAGTGGGAATTCTTCCCAGCAAGGGGGTGCTGAAGTGGGTGCTGTCTTCTGTATGGTCTAACAACCAAATGAAGACCAAAACCACCCCCCAGTCTGATTATTTAGCTCTAGCATGTCTCAGAAATTTTGATTTTTAAGTGCAAGGAAGTTTAGGAGCTTAACTCAAGGTACCAACAGCTTGTGAATCCTCCATCATTTTTCTTCCAGGATTAAAAAGTAAAATATTATTTCTGGAGCACACTTTGTGTGTCTGGGTGTTTTTCATTTGCTTTTCTTTCATGGAGTGCTGAAAGCTCATAAACTTTTGCTGGTTTATCAACCACCTTTCCCAAGCGGACAGCAACACTTAGGCACCATTTTTGCCCCTTCATTGTCCTCTTGTGCCAATTGCTCTCRAGCCGAGGATATTCTTCTATTTCTGTGACTTTCCAATCTTCCACAGGAGATAGTGTTCTTAAAGCAGAATCAGCACCATCCTAGGGCAGGAAAGCTTGTTAATAGTAATGTCCCCAGTGAAAACTTATCATATTTTAGCTTTCCACCCCCCTGCTGAKGTTGTAGCCCTTTATCTGCTGTTTGTCCTCTCCAAGTGGCAGGAACCACTGCAACTCCTTTAATAAGCAACCATGGGACATGGCATTAATTTCCCATTTCCTTATCCAYATTTCCCATCTGTGTCTTTATCCAGGTGGGGCAGAGAATTTTCTGTTCTGAGGAATAGCCCTGCCCTATGTTCCAGAGGTGTTTGTCCCCGAGGAAAGCTGTAGCAGTTGCAGAAATTTGCTTTCTTCCTGAYCAAGGCTGTAAATGCCACTTGTGTGAGACTCTGAGCATCTGCCACCCTAGCAAACRATGTGGCTGCTGTTCCAAATCACATTTGTGGTCTGCCTGCTTTTCATATTTGTCCTGGGAAAGGGCTGCTCTTAGGAGGAGCRAGAACTCTTAAATTGCACAGGAACTGAAAAAGCTTCCACAGGGAAAATGTTCTCCCTATCACCAGTTAAAAGTTGTCTCCTGACATCAAACACAGGCTGTGTGTGTGTATTTATACATAATTTATCTCTCCATATATATGTGTATATACTGGACATCTGTGAGCGCTATGAGAACACCCACATTTTGATAGCCATGGAACTCTCCAATGAAAATAAGCATTTTTTTTTTTGCATCTATGTGCAAACCAAAGAGGAATTACCTGCAAAGGAGCACTGTGGATGTTCTCATCAATGCCTCTGTGTGACCCTTTTCCCTGAGCTGGAGAAGCTCTTGGTCTCAATGATGTCTCGTGACAAAGAACCCCACGAGCTGATTATGTGCTGTGTACAAATGTATTTCCTTTTTATTGGTTTTGAATGTGATGCCTTTAATTTTATTGAATGTCCCTTGTTATGTAATAGAAGGAAACTATAAATAGAAACTCCCCATTTGTTTTCCCTCAGAATACATAGCTTTGTAATGTCTCCCAGCTAAGTTAAGCACCTTTTTTTTTTTTTAATTATCCATCCTGCAGTCATTACAGTCACTTCCTTTGCCTGGCTCTAAACCTTACTTACAGTTTTATTGACATGTTTTTAGCCATTCTGTTCTTTATAATACAGAGCAGACCATCTGAGTTCTCTTCCCAATTAATTAATCCAAAAGATGGCAGTGTGCTAATGATTCCTTTCCACTTCAATCTACAAACATTTGAAAATGCCTGATTTTGCCATAGTTTCGCAGCCCTGGTATTGATAAGTTGCCCCAATTACTGTTTTAAAAATAAACAAACTTAGAACAAAAAAATAAATTGTGCATGTATCCCTAATACCTGCAGGGAAGAAATTTCTCCTAGTTAACGTAAGCCCTGATAAACAGCTTGGCAAAAGCAGATTTTATCTACTGTGGTTTGAGAGATACCTGTTTAGTGGAGGTGAGCAGGGAGAGACTGATCTCTTAGAAGGAAGGATAATGTTTGTGCTCAAAGTGACAGACGAGGATTTAGCATATAAAAAATTACCTTCAGAATTGATTCACAGTTCATTCCCTTTCTATTTCCAAGCTTCAGTACGGAAGAAGAAGGGTAAGGGGAAGCATTTTGTCTCTTGTTTAACCTGTTTCTCACCTTTCCATAGTGAAGGATAATAACATAATGTAAATGTTGGCATACGGTCCAGTTTATTTTATGGTGTCAAATGTACATTAATTATTGTATATGTTTTTTAGTTATTTAGTTAATTGCAAACACACTAAGAAACTCAAACAGAAGACCACATTTGAAAATATCCCCCGCATTCCTTCCTTATGTCTCCTTTCCTTCACCTTGCCTTTTTTTTCCTTCTCTGTCCCTAACTCTTCTCCCACCCCTTCCATCTCATCTCCTCCCAGTTCCCGTGCCGAGTGGCATCCCCAGAGGGTTAGTGGCATCCCCAGAGGGTTAGTGGCATCCCCAGAGGGTTAGTGGCATCCCCAGAGGGTTAGTGGCCAGTGACCCTGCAGCGTTAGGGTCCCGCTTGTCTCTGGACCAGCCCCGCGTTCTCCCGTTGTCCCGCACCGTGTCTGTGTCAGGAGTCAGGGCTCTGCTCACACACCCCAGCTCCCACCCAGCAATCTGCTCTGGCAATTCTGCAGTGCCCACAGAGCAGCTCCTGTATGTGTGCAGTGCCCTCATGGATGCCTCATGAGGCCACCTACACCTTCTCCTTGAAATCTGTCCAAAAACCCCTCTTCCCCACTGAGATCCCCACTGATGGTGAGGCAGGGGGGGCCAGGTAGAAATAGCAGTGCTGTTTGAATAGTTTTTATGGATGTGTTTTTGTGTGCAGAGGGTTTGTGTATTGAGCTGTGCTTTTTCCATGCTCCTGTGGTCATTTTGTGTCCCTAGATTGTGAGCTCTGCCGAGCAGGGGCTGTGTCATTGCCATGTTCTCATGGGGTCCRGCCCGGGGAGGAACCTCCCTTTTCCCCAAACCCCTGGGTGGGAGCTGGTGAAAAACAKGCTGTGCCCTGCTCTTGGACAAGGCTCAGTGGCATGGAAAGGAAATCCAGGCTGTAGGCAGTGCTTTCTCTCAGCAGGGAAGTTTTCCTTTTTAACGTTTAATAGGATGAAAYTGGGTTATTTTCCACTCTTTGTTTTCCTGCTCTTTCCTGACCTCCTTTCAGGTGGTTACCAGAGGTTCCAACTAGTGAGATTTGCCATTTCTCCATTCAGAGAATATGACAGAATAAACCACATTGCTACTGAAAAAATATGTTTTGGCAGCATATTAAAAAAAAAAAAATGTCTGTGTTGTTAGGTAGAGTCTTCTGTCAACCAAAAATTCAGTTTTCTGGGTCAGAAATGAGGGAGGCATTAGGATTAAAATAATGGCTTCTGTGGTTCTGTCTGACTGGCTCTGTTGATTATCTTTGGAGATGGGTTCTGSTTCATTGGGAGAGCAGGGGAAAGGAAGGAAGGGCAGGGCACAGGCTGTATGTTTTGATATTCAGGATGTAAAATGTGGTATTTGTGTCTGAAGGAGATAGACGATAAAATCCATAGGTTGGGGGCAGTATGGCATGGGCAGTTCTGTCATTTTACTGCCGTTATAAAGCAGGAATTACTGAGATTTAACTTCATTTGTGCCACTGACTTTTCTGCTTGCAGTAGCCTGACTCAGAGATAGCTTCTAGCCTTGAAATGCATGCATGGAGAGGTCGTGTTTCCAAACTCCTGTCTGGATTCTGTGGGATACCCGGGATGGGGGACAGGGGTTCATCTTTCTTGTGCCTTGTAGTTTTCCAAGAACTGTTGTATCAGTAAATTGTAGCAACATGTAAGCCGAGAGGTGCAGCAGCAACTCGTTGGAGGCAGCACTTGAGATGCAATTCTGTTAATACTAAAGGGTAACCAGGGTATTCGTGCAGCAAATTTAAACAAAGGTTCRAAAATACACTGAAAATGAAAGATTAAGAGAAAAATTTGAGGTCATAATTTTTGTCATCACCACGGGAAAATAGATATCATTAGAGCTTCAAAATTAATATTTAAAAATTTTAAATTAAACTCTGTTTGTAATCAGTTTATGGAGCTGGTGGAAAGCTTGGTTTTAAATGGATTTTCCTTCAGTTTTTGTTTCAACTTTTATCAATAACTTCATGTGGAGGGAGAATTTTAAAGTTACACAATCCTTAAGGAACACATCCCTAAACTAAGATCTATAAATGTCTAGATACATGATTTGAAAATTTCCCGCCCCTCAGCTCTCTTTGCTGCCAGGAAATGGGTTTGATTTAGTGAGTCATTTGGGATTTTCAGTGAAAGCTGAAGTGGACAGTGT